GCATCTCCTAAGCTCAAAATGCTCTGTTGCACCTTGTGATGTCATGTGGTGATAGTTTTTAAGTCAAGTTAACAGCTACCTTTTACTTTTAGATCAGGAAAGATTAGCAATTTCAGATCAGTTTTAAATAGTTTGTGTATGTGAATGTTTTCATTATGAGGATGCACATTTTAATCACCTGTTTTGTGTTTTTCAAGGCCATGGAGATGTTTGTGAGGCTCAAGATGCACAGGTATCTTATATTTTTAAAGAGTTTAACGTTTACTAAAATGAACCCAATCTGTTTAAAGTGTTTTTTGGTGATTTTGTATTTTTTTGTGATACCTGCGGTCCGTTAGTTTGTTTTGTTTTCCCTTTTGAGTACACTCCCAGTAAGTTCACTTCTGAATCGGTGGTGTTGCGTGCGCACTTGTAAAGGCAGACTATCTTACTTCTTTTTATTTGTTTGTTTTTTGGTCACTTCCCCCCTAAAATACTGATGCTCATTCCTGAAAGAAACTTTATTGGAACCTGATCATTTGGGGTGATATTTGTAGTGGTCGTCTATCCCAATTTTTCCCCAAAGACTGGGTCGCGAAACTCAGGTGGGTCACAAGAGATTTTTTTGGGTCGCCTTTAGGGATGGGCACGATTAGTGGATTAATCGATAATTCGTTAAGAATTTCATCGATTACGTTAATTTTAATTGACAAACCGAATGTAGGTTGCTGTGTATCGTGACCAAACAGGGGTCTGTACATGTGTCTCTCTGCACTCAGAAGGAGCGAGCAAACACAAACAGTCGGTCAGTCTGCAACGTGCCGAAGCACAAATGCGTATTTAACGACTTAATGACTTGTACAAGAAATTTCACGCTTTCCGTTCCGTTTGGGACAAGTGGGAGGCCATGTGCACAGTGTACAAAGTAGGTACATATGTTTCGGTGTCCAGTGGAAAAAGTTCACGAGGACATCGAAAACATGAAAAAAGTTTTTGCCAGGTGAGAGTAGCACAATGACGATGATGAGGCCCCACGTCCCCCCCCTCGTACGCTGTCCTGGTTTTGACAAACGCAAATATGGTCACACTAACCTGTATTCCACTGAGTCGTGTCGCATCAGCACAAGAGCTGTTTTTTTCTTCGCTTAGTTTATGCAAATTAGCGATGTGGTTTTAAGTTTTGTTTCTGTGACTTGCACAAAGCTGCATTAAACACATTATAATGTCAAACGGGCTGATGTGGCTCTAGAGTCGTTACAGTTTATATGTTGTAAAGTAGAATTTATTTAGGCAGATTAGTAGTGCAGATAATAATAATGATAATACATTTTGATATAAAAAATGTTAATGATTAATCGATAATCGAGCGTTAATTCTCCCAACGATCGATTAAGAAAATTTTATCGAATGCCCATCCCTAGTCGCCTTGTCACGATCTGGATGTAGGTCTGTGATGTACAGTTCTGACACATGACAGAGCGAGTGAATATCTCAGTAGGGTGAGTATGTCTATGCTCGTTCCTTTCACTACTACATATATGTGTGAATTGGGATTTTCTGTGCTCACAAAAATGAAGACAAAGCTGAGAAACTGAAACAGACTGAATCCTGCATCCCGGACTGAACATTTTAAATTCAGGCTCAAAACAGTTCTGTTTAACTGTGAGTATGACTGGACGGTTTTCATTTTTCTTTCCACACTCTTCTCTCTAATTTAATCTCTTTCTCTCGCTTTTTAATTCTGTGATGATTATTTATGTTTTGATTGTGATTTTAATGTATTTCTTTTTCTGTAAAGCACGTAGAATTACTCTGTGTATGAATTGTGCAATATAAATAAACTTGCCTTGCCTTGCATCACTTTACAAAGACACAGACAGGTCCACCTCTCACTAGAAATATTGAAATGTTAAGACGTGTTTTGTATAATTTCTAATCTTTTTGTAATTATTTTACTATTTTGTTCCATTATTGCTGGTTCAATTAAATGTTGAATACAAAAAGAAATGGGCTACATTTAATGTCCAAATAGGCTATTTATGTATCCTTTTATTGCTGATTCAATGACGTTTTTTAGGGATGTAACAATAATAATATAATAATAATAATAATAATAATAATATCGTATCATCAGAGTTCTCACATAATATCATGGACCATCACAATATATTGAATTACAAGTGTCTTTACTTAAATTAAGAGTTATGATGCAGCAATAGTATAAAAAAAAAAGACAGACAGAACTACATAGACCATGATCCTTTGCTCCAATTCAGTGCAGACTACATGAAGAAATAACAGTTCTAATCACTTTTGAGTCTTAGTTCTTTGTATTAAGTCTTGTCAAGGCATTTTAAGAGAACAAAGTAAAATATTAACTGTTTTATTAGCTCCACAAAGTATCGCAATAAATATCGTACGGTGAGGTTCATACCGTGAGTATATCATATCGAGATATCGTTGGATATCGTTACACCATGGTTTAAAACCTGAGTAATACTAATTGTTTAGAGATTTAACAATAAAATATCCTCATTAATGTTTGATAATGGTCAAATCCACCTTTATTTTGTGATTTACGAGTAATAATAATAACCTAAACTTTATCCTTGGCTCAATATTCTTATTATTATAACGTGTAGAAAAGTTTCCAGTGTGTATTTTAAAGCTACTGACGAAATAAATAAATAAAAATACTACAACTATACTATACTGCTTCTGTTTTTACTGTGAAAAGTGCAAATGGAGGTTGAGGTTCTGTAGTCGTCTGCCTCTATATAGTTAAATGGAATCTTTATCAGAGGAGCTCCATCTAGTGGCCAAGTTTTGTACGACACTGAATGTAAGCTGATGTTTGATTCCACAGGTTTCACATCAGCCATGAATTGGTGATAAATAAAATAAACTTACAGACGGTGGATTTAACGTCAGAGAAGTGGTTCGTTTCGCTGGACATGGACGGTTGCTTTGACGTGTGGCACTGAGAGGAAATCCAAGCTGGTCAACAAACATTCAAATGTAATAAAGTATAAAATAATCATGGAAAATGAGTTACTGTATCCGCTTGTTTCCATGGAGATGTTATTGCTCGATGTGGGATGTTTCGTAGAGTGGCATTAAACATATCCACAGCATTTGAACATAAAAACACATTGATTCCTTCAGTGAAAAGGTGAGACTCTCCACAGATCTGAACTGTAATGTGCTGTAACCTGCTAGTCTCCGGGATATAACGAGGACTAAACCAAGACTAAATCAGGACTAAACCAGGACTAAACCAGGACTAAACCAAGGACTAAACCAGGACTAAACCAAGACTAAACCAGGACTAAACCAAGAAACAGGACTAAACAGGACTAAACCAAGACTAAACCAGGACTAAATAACCAGACTAAACCAGGACTAAACTAAACCAGGACTAAACAAGAAGTAAACCAGGACTAAACCAAGTAAACCAGGACTAAACCAAGATTAAACCAGGACTAGATCAGGACTAAAACCAGGACTAAACCAAGGACTTTAAACAAACTCAGGACTTAAACCAAGACTAAATCAACTAAAAGGACTAAACCAAGACTCACCAGGACTAAACAAGAATAAACTAGGACTAAACCAAGACTAAACCAGGACTAAACCAGACTAAACCAAGACTAAACCAGGACTAAACCAAGAACTAAAAATCAGGACTAAACCAAGACTAAACCAGGACTAAACCAGGACTAAACAAGACTAAACCAGGACTAACAAGACTAAACCAGGAAACCAAGATAAACCAGGACTAAACCAACTAAACCAGGACTAAAAGGACTAAACCAGGACTAAACCAAGACTAAACCAGGACTAAACCAAGGACTAAATCAGGACTAAACCAAGGACTAAACCAAGACTCAACCAGGACTAAACCAAGACTAAATCAGGACTAAACAAAACTAAAACCAGGACTAAACAAGAAGACTAAACCAGGACTAAACCAGAGACTTAAACCAGGACTAAACCAAGACTAAATCAGGACTAAACCAAGACTAAACCAGGACTAAACCAAGGACTAAATCAGGACTAAACCAAGACTAAACCAAACTAAACCAGGACTAAACAAGACTAAACCAGGACTAAACCAGACTAAACCAAGATAAACCAAGACTAAACAATAAAACTAAACCAGGACTAAACAAGAATAAACCAGGACTAAACCAAGACTAAACCAGGACTAAACCAAGACTAAATCAGGACTAAACCAAGGACTAAACCAAGACTCAACCAGGACTAAACCAAGACTAAACCAGGACTAAACCAAGACTAAACCAGGACTAAACCAAGACTAAAAAAGGACTAAACCAAGACTAAACCAAGACTAAACCAAGACTAAACAGGACTAAACCAAAACTAAACCAGGACTAAACCAAAAATACACCATTACAAACCAGGACTAAACCAGGACTAAACCAAGACTCAATCAAGACTCAACCAAAACTAAACCAGAACTAAACCAGGACTAAACCAGGACCAAACCAGGACTAAACCAAGAATCCACCATTACAAACCAGGACTAAATCAAAGAATAAACCAGGACTAAACCAAGACTAAACCAGGACTAAACGTAGACTAAACTAAGCTGCTTGTTAACAGGACACTGCGGAACATTCTAGACAAGAAAGCAGCAACATTTCCATTGAAACGCACAGGTGGTGAACCCTTCATGTTACGCAGGGAACTTTAAGAAGAGAGGAAATACTTACCAAAAACAAAACAAAAAATCTGGTTCAACATTTGTATTTTGTACTGAAGTCTTAATAATTGGACCATAAAACCACAAAATCGACCTTTTATTTATTACATCGTGGAGCTTTATAGATCTGTACAGTTTCATATATCATCAATGAATTCATCAGAAAAACGCATTTCAAATCACAATGAAAAATACAGAATTCATACATTTTTACATCACCAAATGGAGTAGAGCCTGTGTTTACAAAGTCCAGCTGTAGGCCATTTTTACTTTCACTTTCACTTTCACTTTCTCACTAAGCCGGTAGAGTCGTGGATATTTCGGCATGCTCCATCCAGTCCTGCTGCGTTGTTCTCTTGCCCATGGTGAGGATTCCCGCGGCCTGGTTCCGCTGTCCGTGGAGGAGGTGGTTGAGTCGGCTCTGTAAACGGTACTCTTCCCCGGAGCGCTTGCCCAGAGTGAGGATCCCGGCCGCGGCGTCTCCGGCCTGGAGTCCCGCGGGCCGACAGAGGAGCAGGTAGAGGCGGCACGACGGGGACGGGTGACGGCAGCACTCGGACACGGGGTTCGCTCCGGAGGTGGACTCGCAGAGGAGGAGGAGCAGGACCATGAGCACGGCTTTCTGAAACGAAAGGAGAAGAAATCAGGTATGAGGATGTTTCAAAGTGATTTAAAATGATTATGTTTTGCAGTTTCCTCATTAAAAACATACCTGGAGTTGTGTTTTGTTTCATTCGCACGTTTAACACACAAATCTGAATACTTAGTTATTTTTTCACACAGAAAACACTTCCCCCTTGTGATGTCATGTGGCAATACAGGAAGTGCTTCACAGTGCTTTTAAAATTCCATACACCTTGTCTAGAATCATTTGGATATTTGTAGCCCTGGAACTGCCAATCTCTACTGAACTAAAGGTAAAATAACGAACTTCCATCCATTCATTTTCTTCCGCTTATCCGGGGCCAGGTCACGGGGGCATCAGTCTAAGCAGGGACTCCCAGACTTCCTTCACCCCAGACACTTCCTCCAGCTCTTCCGGGGGGACTCCACAGCGTTCCCAGGCCAGCCGAGAGACATAGTCCCTCCAGCGTGTCCTGGGTCTTCCCCGGGGCCTCCTCCCGGTGGGACATGCCCGGAACACCTCCCGAGGGAGGCGCCCAGGAGGCATCCGGAACAGATGCCCGAGCCACCTCAACTGGCTCCTCTCGACGTGGAGGAGCAGCGGCTCTACTCCGAGCTCCTCCCGTGTGACTGAGCTCCTCACCCTATCTCTAAGGAGCGCCCAGCCACCCTGCGGAGGAAACTCATTTCGAGCGCTTGTATCCGTGATCACGTCCAAAAAAAAAAGAAGAACTTAACATGTTTTATTGTTTAGAAATAAGTGCAGGGAGATAAAGGAATTTTGGCAGTGCATTCGTAAAATAGAGTTAGATTGTTTATTCGTACCTATAGGTAAAATTGTTTTGCAGATTTGAGAGGCAGGTCCCACATTTCACACTTCATTTATCCACATTATGTACAACCCTAACCCTAACACAATTACAAAATAAAGTGTTACAGTGCTCCAGTGCAGAATGGTTTGCTCCATAAACAAATCATTAAATTCATCCTTCACACTTGGCTAAAATCACAATAGATATTAAATATATATAAAACTAACAAACAAAGAAAAACACACACATTTTTTTCCCAAGACAGCATACTAAAATTGATAGATAAATAGATTACAATTTATTCATAAGACCTACAGCAGCTAGAATGAAGCTCCTTTTAAAACGATTTATTCTAGATCTTGGGACTAAAAGCCTCTGAGCAGACGGAAGCAGCTGAAACTCTGAGTTTAGTGGATGCTGCACGTCTTTTAGAATACTCTGGGACATCTTCTGTAACTGTCTTGAGTACAGGGAGGTTGTTGTCTGAATTGAAATATCCTGGGGTCTGGGATACTCGATACTACTACTATTACTACCATTTGAAAAATACTACAATCATAACTAAACCTGATTCACCAGTGCCTTTACCTGCATGTAGAGGACACATACATACAAGTCTTTTCTTTCATTCTCAGTATATGGACAGACGAGGCACCAGCACTGACTCCTGACTGCTGCAGGTGTTGGGGTTTAGGGAGTTAACATTCAGATCAGAGAGAATCATTTTAGGTTTAAACCATCCAACTGGATTTCAGCATTGAACCTGACAACCCAAATGAGAAACTTATAATATAAACAACTTAGTGATCTCCAGTGTTGGAGAGTAACAGATTACATGTACCAGAGTTACGTAATCAGAGTACAAATTATGAGTAACTGTATTCAGTTACAGTTAGCTGTTTCAGTGAGTGGTAAATGGATTACAGTTACTTTGTTGAAATAAATGGATTACACAGAGGGATTTTCCTGTTTTCCTGTTTTCACATTTTGGGCTATATCCACCCTCCTTTTTTTTCTTTTTTTTTCGGTAATTTCACTCATTGCCGGAAACTAAAGCAGGTCTAAACTAGATCTAAACCAGGACTAAAACCAGGTCTAAACTAGATCTAAACCAGGACTAAAACCAGGTCTAAACTAGATCTAAACCAGGACTAAAACCAGGTCTAAACTAGATCTAAACCAGGACTAAAACCAGGTCTAAACTAGATCTAAACTAGATCTAAACCAGGACTAAAACCAGGTCTAAACTAGATCTAAACTAGATCTAAACCAGGACTAAAACCAGGTCTAAACTAGATCTAAACCAGGACTAAAACCAGGTCTAAACTAGATCTAAACTAGATCTAAACCAGGACTAAAACCAGGTCTAAACTAGATCTAAACTAGATCTAAACCAGGACTAAAACCAGGTCTAAACTAGATCTAAACCAGGACTAAAACCAGGTCTAAACTAGATCTAAACTAGATCTAAACCAGGACTAAAACCAGGTCTAAACTAGATCTAAACCAGGACTAAAACCAGGTCTAAACTAGATCTAAACTAGATCTAAACTAGGACTAAAACCAGGTCTAAACTAGATTTAAACTAGATCTAAACCAGGACTAAAACCAAGGTCTAAACTAGACTAAACTAGATCTAAACCAGGACTAAAACCAAGTCTAAACTAGGTCTAAAACAGGTCTAAAACCAGGTCTAAAACCAGGACTAAAATAGGTCTAAAACCAGAACTGAAACAGGACTAAACTAGGACTAAACCATGCTGCGTGGACGTGTCTCCTCTTCTATCAATAATATTTTTAATTTGGTTCAGTAAAGTCTGGGATTTTTATTTTCTTTTAGCAGATAAAACATCTTATGTAACGATATCCTTACTCACTTTAAGTAATTTAATGGATTACGTTACAAACTACATTTTGGGGTATGTAATCTGTAATCTGTAGGGAGATACATTTAAAAAGTAACCTTCCCAACACTGGCGATCTCTCCCAGTGTTTTCGTTATTTAGAATAAATCCGCATTACAAGTATCATCTACCTGTTCATATCTGGGGCCGCAGTTGGGTCATGTTTATGGTATTTAAAATCCAAATCTTACATACAGTTCCTTTAGATAAACGTTGCCATATATTTTGAGAGTTCACACATTTCTAGATGCCGTGAACAGTGGGTCAGAGCTCAGGTTTCCCACCGGGACCATTAAATAAAACTAAACTCACTGTAATTACACTCGGGGCATTTTTATCAACCTCGGACAACCTTCGCGACGAGGAGGCCGGGTTTGTGTAGACGCTGTTTCTTTTGCAGAGCTGCAGATCTAATTAAAAAGGCTTTGAAATCTGCTGCTTTAAGAGAGCACTCCAGGTCAGCGATAGTCATTATTTATCAAAAGTGCATCAGGAGAGGAACAACTGTGCACATTTTAAAAAGCTGGTCCCTTAAAAGTGTTAATTACTCTAACCAATTAACAACTAACAGGACATGGACTAACTGGAAGCGACCTGAGCGTGAATTCAATCAAGATGGTATTTCCTACGTCCATCTTTTTGTTGTTGCGCGTCTGTCCGAGTCTGCTTTCTTTGCCGCTCAAATCACATCATCTCTGTCTCTACCGATGCAGCAGAAGCCTCTCCATCATAAGGAGATCTAGTTAACATCAAGGTTCACAGTACTTATTGTCCATCAAGAAGAAACGGGGCCTCTGCATTTGCCACTAAGTCAGTGGGTGCAGTGGGTGTCCACGCTGCAGAACCGAAGGACCTTTCTCCAGATAAATAAACCTACGAGTGCCAAGTTGAAGTATTAACCTGTTGCATTGATGTTGGAAATTAAAGTAACTCAGCCAGACGGGGAGAACATGCAAACTTTAAACAATAAAGCAGCTTGTAGTTAAACCTATAACATCTTGTTGTGAGGCAGAAACACTCACTAAGAGCCTGTTTACACGAGAACGCCTGTGGGTAAAAAGGACAAACTATTTTAAGTGGCTTTTGTGTGAACGATGACGGCGTTTTGGGGGCTTAAAAACGCAAATATTTGAAACGACCCTCCAGAGCGGAAAAGTTGAATACGCTCCGTCGTAGTGTTTCCGTCTACACTGCCCAAGACGCAAAACTCTGGTCAGATCTGGTCAGGCCTTCAGTTCAAATTTGTTGGTTAGTTCAGTTTTGTGCTTTTTAAAATTTGGTCACCCGATTCTGTTTGTGGGTTTATGTGGTTTACTTTCGGACACTTGTGTTGTAGTTGTAGTTGTGCGTATCCTTTAGTTTAACCACTCGTTTTATTATCTGTACATATATATTAGTCTGTTTTGTTCATTTATATTTTACATCCCTGTTGATTAAACTTTATTTAATTTATTCCATTTTACATCTTGGTTATTTTATGACTTCCCTGACCCCAACGAGCTAAGTACACAGAAACATTTCGGATGGCATGCATATCCAATCGAATTCCACACACTTTTGCGTCACCTTATGCACGCAGATTTCCTCCCGAAAATGCTTGTCTAAAGGCGGAATAAAAAGTGACGACGCAACGCCACTTTTGCGTCTTCTCTTCAGACCGTCATCACATAAATGTAGCCAAAGTTACAGCTACAACAGTTTATTTGTCTCGCTTTATTGCTTCACTGTCCTTTCCACCAGCCATAATCTAGGCCTTAAAGTTTATCCATTCAGTAGGATACCATTAAAGCTACACTGTGTAACTTTGCAGATTGAAGGTCTGCCTCGTGATTGTCTTTTTTCTTTGCTGGAAGGTTCCACAAAATGCGAAAAGTTATCTTGCATTTGTTGCTAAAAAATACCTTGATAAACATGTATTCTTACTATGAGTGGGATTGCCTCTCAACAGATCTGACCTGTAATATTATCCCTCCGGCGTCTTTTGTCTCCATAGTGACAGATAACTCCAATGTCATACTATGTTTCAGATAAAGCAACAGCATCTCCATGTTGAAAAGCAGGTACAGTGAATCAGAAGTACATTACAGTACTTTTGAAGTAGACATATTATGCATTTTTTCTGGAATTTATAATGTTGTTACCTCCTCAGCAACATAAACAGAGTTGTGTTTTGTTTCATTCACACATGTTTGAGTTAATCCTGGATTATTAATCTGCCTACATCTCAAATTCTCAAAATGCTCCCTGTGAAGCGATAGTTTCGAGAGCATGCTGTGCCTAAGTTTCCTCAGCCCCCCCCCCCCACAAAAAAAAAAAAATTAGGCCCCATGTTCCTACATTTCCTTTATCATCAATTTTCATCAGAATGTATCTACATTTGTCCCAGTTTGGTTGCCAATTACACACAACGTATTCTCCTACAGATGTAATGCAGAGGTCATGGTGCAAAGGACCTTAGGTTGAAATGACTCTGAATCATCCCATTAAATGTAGTATAAAAATAAAAATGACTTGATTTAGAGTTTAATTTTGAGAAAAAAATCTCAGAAATAAGAAAAATCTTAGAAATAAGGGAACACAGGGCCGACCCTGTAGTTTCCAACTTGATGTATAAACAAACTTTGCTTTTTTACGGTTTGTCCTAAAATAGATTTTTATAGATTTTTTCCTCCGTCACTAATGATTTTCTGTTCATTGTTATTCATGGCCTTTGTCACCTTTCCCTGAACGTTTAGCACCTATTTGTATACAGCCTCCCGCAGTAACAGGTACAGTGTCCCCATGGGCTCAAAAACATGATAATTGGATTGTGTAACACATATGACTCCAGCTTTTAATGATGTAACTATGTTCAAATCCTGTTGGCCTACAGTTATATATATTATAGACTCTACATTTTTAACTTTTTTTTTTTTTTTTTTGATCATTTCTTAATGTATAACACTGATATAAAAATCTTACAAATTGCTATAGGGAACTCAGAACAATAACATTTTTGCAAAAGTCCATGAGAAATTTGAATCAAGAATCATCTCTAACTTCATTAACATTAACACATCCTCAGATCATGAAAATCCATGAACTTCCCAGCCTCAATCTCACTGAGAAATACAGCGGGGCTACAGTGTCTCATATGTTTAGTTTAAGTGCAAAAAAAGCACATTGAGTGAACCAAGAACCACCACAGCCAAGCTCGTTTTAGATCACATTTACAAACGTAATGCGACGTACATAATGTTTGATTTGGATTTGGATTACATTCTATTTGATTTCTATTATATTGTGAAGGTAATAGTTTGGTAATGACTGTACCAAAAATGATCAGGACCTCATAAAAACAGAGGGTTATGAAAGGATTTGAAGAAATTATTTGATGGAATACAGATTTTTAAATGGAAAACAGTAATGATACATTCCATTAAATTAGTTCAAAGACAAAAAATAAAATTCAACCTGATTATTTTTTGTTTTGCCGTTATTGAAATTATTATTCGTGCAACTTTCATTTTGCGGTGGAGGTCCTTGCATCTGTTATAAGGTTATTTTGAAGGTTCAAGCCTTAAAAGTTTGTGAATTTAATGTATTTCGCCTCTATTTACATTTCACAACATTTACTCTAAAATATTAAACTATTTTCAACAATTTCCTGTTTAAATTCTGTATATTATGCCCTTGTAGTTGCTGGTACTCACTCTGTTATTCGTGTCCATCCCAGGGGCTTGGAGGAAGAGTCCGGTGAACCAGTCTGAAGTCATCTGAAAATTCTGACTCCCAAACGACCGTCCGAGCTTATATCCCCCCTCCGCTCCCGCACGTCATTCACAGGGGTCCAAAAGTGACACGGAAAACCTGCAATTTTCATTTCCCCTGTTCATTTGTAGCTCTGATGTTATTTGGTTTTGATAATTAGTCTCCAAGGATCTCCTCTGGATCTTTGATGAACCAGGCCCGGGTCTTTGTCAGCGCATACCCACGGTCTATTAGCAAATGCCTTCAAGATGAGCGGAGGAGAAACCGAGAAGTCAATTAGCAAACAGAAAAGCAGCGTGGTACAAAAATATCATCACAAAACAAAAAAATGTCCAGATGCCCTTTCACGGTTACAATGGGAAGTTTGTGCAGGTCATACTAATAAGGCTGAGGTTCTTATTACCAAAGACGACAATGGTTCAGTTGCATCAGTACGGACAATACAAGCAGCGCTGTGTCTTTATATATATTTAGATGGAAGTGGAAGTAGTAGGAAGTTTTAATGCTTTTTTATTATTATTACTTGGTTTGGTGGAGAGTACTTGTAGTAAGTATTTATAGTTTTGCATCAGTTAAGTGGCAGTTTGTGGATAAAAGTGAAGAAAAGTAAAAATACAAGAAGCAGCAGTGAGTTTTCAAACAGAAACCCCCAGCCTACTCTATTCCGAGACCACAGGATCTCAGAGACCAGGACAAGACCAAGACCTCTGAGGGTCAAGAGCGAGACAAGACCAAGACCTCTGAGGGTCAAGAGCGAGACAAGACCAAGACCTCTGAGGGTCAAGAGCGAGACAAGACAAGAAGACCAAGACCTCTGAGGGTCAAGAGCGAGACAAGACCAAGACCTCTGAGGGTCAAGACCAAGACCTCTGAGGGTCAAGAGCGAGACAAGACCAAGAGTTTTAAAGGTGGAGACTGAGACAAGACGGAGACCACGGCCCATCGAGACCAAATCGAGACCAGCTTTGTCATTTTCATTTATTTGTGTTTTACAGTTACTTTAGCACAAATATATTAATGTTTGTTTGTTTGTTTGTTTTAATAAATCTATCTCAATTTTGTCTGATTAATGTTGATTTAGGGATAAAATAAGATAAGCAAACTGTACTGTACTTAAATACTGTGTAAACCTTTTATGGACCCTCACCCACAGTCAGTGTTGGGGAGTAACAGATTACATGTACCGGAGTTACAAATTATGATTAGCTGTATTCAGTTACAGTTACTGCTTCAGTGAGTGGTAATTAGATTACAGTTACTTTGTTGAAATAAATGGATTACATGGCAGTATTTTCCTATTTTCATATTTTGGGCTATATGCCTTTTTTTTTTTTTTTTTCTCGGTAATTCCACTCATTGCTGGACACGAAACCAGGCCTAAACCAGGTCTAAACCAGGACTAAACTAGGTCTAAACCAGGTCTAAACCAGGTCTAAACCAGGTCTAAACCAGGACTAAACTAGGTCTAAACCAGGACTAAACCAGGACTAAACCAGGACTTAAACTAGGTCTAAACCAGGACTAAACTAGGTCTAAACCAGGACTAAACTAGGTCTAAACTAGGTCTAAACCAGGTCTAACCAGGTCTAAACCAGGACTAAACTAGGTCTAAACCAGGACTAAACCAGGACTAAACCAGGACTTAAACTAGGTCTAAACCAGGACTAAACTAGGTCTAAACCAGGTCTAAACCAGGACTAAACTAGGTCTAAACCAGGTCTAAACCAGGTCTAAACCAGGTCTAAACCAGGACTAAACTAAGTCTAAACTAGGTCTAAACCAGGACTAAACCAGGACTAAACCAGGACTAAACCAGGTCTAAACTAGGTCTAAACCAGGACTAAACCAGGTCTAAACCAGGACTAAACTAGGTCTAAACTAGGTCTAAACCAGGACTAAACCAGGACTAAACCAGGTCTAAACCAGGTCTAAAACAAGGACTAAACCAGATCTAAACCAGGACTAAACCAGGACTAAAACCGGGACTAAACCAGGACTAAAACTGGATTTAACAGGATTTAACAGGACTAAACCATGCTGTGCGGACCGTGTCTCCTCGTCTTCTATCAATAATATTTTTTATTTGGTTGAGTAAACACTAGCCATTTCATTTTCTTTTAGCAGATGAAACATCTTATGTTATGATTTCCTCATCTTTGCTTCTCTACAGCAAACCAAGTAATCCAAAGTATTCAGATTACGTTACTCACTTTAAGTAATTTAATGGATTACATTACAAACTACATTTTGGGGTATGTAATCTGTAATCTGTAGGGGAATACATTTTAAAAGTAACCTTCCCAACACTGCCCACAGTTTGAGAAGCCCTTCCACTGGCACTTTACAGAAAACTGTGAAGACGTGAAGAAAGTGGGTGGGATTTTTAAACCTGTCAAGTTCCTAACTGGATTTACATTCTCTTACTGGGTTTGCAGTGGGATTTATCGGCGTCTGCACATTCACCAAACGCACATCGTGACAAACACATATGCATTTGTGCACTTTCATTAGGCAAACTTCAACCACATGTCGCTGTAAGAAGTTTATTGCCAACAGCAGCGGCCGTAATGAAATATGATCGCACTTGTCGAGGGTCAGACCTTAAGTCCGAGACAAGACTGAGTCCAAGTGTCATCAAGGCCGAGACAAGACCAAGTACAAATGCGATCGAGACCGAGATGAGACCAAGACCGTAAAAAGACCGGTCTCGAGTACGATGACAATAGTATGTAATCAACACCAATCAAGTTCCATCCAAACTGCAGAGTCAATTGTGTATATTAATATTAGCAAGGTGCCAGTGTATACTCATAGGACAGGTTTACCACGCTACCTCCTCCTTTCACGGTTTGAATTACGAAGAGAATTCTATGTAAAGAATTACAGATAAAGATAATTCTATAATAAAATGTTAAATTAAACTTATTGTCCCTACACCACAAATAAAACAATATTCCTGTGACACTGAGGACTATGTAGAGAAGGTTTCAACTGTGGTCATCCAGACACTGTTTTTGCAATCCCATCCAGAAACCATTTTAAATTTGATGGTACTGTGATTTACTGCAAACTATAAACTTCAACTAAGCCCTGATGAAGACCAGTCATGCTCGAAACATGTTTCCTTTGGCCATTTAAATAAAGGCCTCTTAACTTTTACTTTTCCTCTTGGAACTTTTACTTTTTTGGAGTGTCTTGATTTCGTTCTGTCCAAAGTTTAGATTCTTTTTCAAAAGCGCCCTCTACGTGTTCTCACTGACTGGAACATCTCTAGCAAACAGCAACAGTTCTGTTTTTCTATAAACTCCACCCTTTGGGGCTGGACTTGGTTAACTCAGAGCAGTGTAAACCCTACTATCTCAAACCAGTAACATCAAATTAAAAATGGCTTCTCAGTGAGACCCGAAACATATTCATTGCAAAAACAGTGTTCAGATAGAGAAAATGGCCAGGTTTTCGTCATCTAGATGTCATTGTATTCTTCCTTTTTTCCTTCTGTAAATTGCCTATTCATTTGTGTGTTATAATTTGTCTAACGTTAAAAAAAAAGATGTCATTGTAGCGTTCCGTTATGTTCGTCAGATCAATAGTTCCCACCAGCTGCCTGGAAGTGACATGGAAGCTGCGATTCGAGTCTCATCCCCCATGGAAAGCTTTGGCAGGTTGTGAAGACGCTTCTGCTGAGTCCATGGTTTTATCACGTGCCCGGTGTCGGTAACTACACCGAAAGTCATCATCTGCATGTTTCCAAACGTCTTCCAGCAAGTGTGAATAGAACTACTCGAAACCATCTCTACAATGAATCACTCTTGGACGAATGAGAGATTACACTCTTATTATATAAGGCTAATCAGCTATATGGTAACTAATGTGGAAATAGTATAAAACCTACAGTATATTTTTTATTACTTGGTTTGGTGGATAGTACCTGTGGAAAATGTTTATAGTCGTACGTCAGCTAAAGGGCCTACAGCAGGGGTCTCCAACCTCTTCCTTCCACTGAGCTACCTGTACAAAAAGAAAATGCCAAAGACCTACACGAAATTGAGCATAGGAACGTGTTCGATGGGGAACAGTTAGATACCTGTAAAACAAAGGTAGTTCATCACATTTTAGTCATTCACCACAATATCCTTAAAATCTTCACTTAAAATCCTTTCTCAAAAATTGACACTGCGTCTTATAATCCGGTGTGCCTTATGTACTAAATCTGGTTGTGCTCACTGACCTCGAACTGATTTTATGTGATACACGGCGCTCAGAAATCTGTCAGAATGTTTTAGTACGACTTAAAACTACGACGCCGCACCTCTTGATGGATTGCTGGAGCATTACGGCTCCCGTAGTCAGGAGCCTCGCGGAGTTAATCCGACAGAAGATGACTGCATCGCCACACAAGGAGCGAGCTGTTTTTTCAGAGCTTATAGTTTATGCAAATGAGCCATGTGGTTTTAAGTTTCTTTTCTGTAAAATGTAAACAAATGTGCACAAAGCTGCATTAAACACATTAATACTCAATGTATATTTGGGGAGTCCTCGTAGGAAATATAAACTTAAATTATCCACCGACATTCACATTCATAATCCACATTCACCAAGACAGGAAGGAAACGCCGGGCAAGTTAGGCCAAGATCTGCAAATGGATCGTGGACGCCTGGGCTAAGGGATCAGTCTCAAGTGTTTCTGTCCGTTTGTTTCGCTTAATGAACTTTATAAACCGTTGTGCCTTATGTATGAAAATAGACGAGAGAATTCAACATGATTGATACTGTGCCTTATAATCTGGTGTGCTTTATAGTCCAAAAAATATGTGTAATTCAGAAATCGTTTGGCGAGCTGCAGGTGGGAGACCCCCGGCCTACAGTATATTATGTTATTTTCTGATCTTTTATAATGTTGAAAAAATAACTTTAGAACATAAGCTTTCAAACCTGCAATTTTTCTGAAAGTTTATGGGAAAAAATACTGGAATTTATATGTACTTCCGGAACCAAAAGTACAGTCTCTGTTCAGCTCCATAAACACCATAACACACGCACAGTAATAAACAATAACAGTTACTCAGACAGGTCAAACAATGAAGCCGGTTTAATGAGAAGTTTGTACACTCATTTTGCAGTGAAACACATGTCATTAGGTTTAGTCTGACCCTCGTGTGCCCATCAAATTACCACAAGTGTCAAATCATATTAATAACTGTTCAAGTGAAAACAAAGTTAAAAAAGGACATTTCAACAAAACTAACAACATTTTCATTATTATTATTATTATTATCATTATTTATATCTCTGTCTGTAATTATTATACCATTATTATTTCGTATTATAATAGCAATATATACCCTTCATACATTTTACAATAAGTTTACATCTATGGTGACAGCAGTAAGACGCTCCTATTGGTCAGACCGGTCCATTCCAGTTTTTTGATTGGCTGGTGAACTCCATGCACCCTCCCACGTTTTAGGAGCATGTTTATGACGTCATCTATTACGACTACCACTCCCTGCATTGTGCTCGTCTACTTTGTGCATTTAAAAAGAAGACAGAAGAAAAGTTCTATTCACTAAAAAGCATTTTGTTAGGTATAATAATAAAAATATACAGCACTGCGCAAAAAAAATGACCATTAGAAAGTAGTTATTGCGATTTAAAGGTGCACCGCGTGACTTTTCTGGTCCAGTCTGCCGCTCGCTCGTCTCGGTGCTGATGTTATTGGTTTGCCTCGAAGGTTCCGTGATTTCATATTAAACATATACAACAAGCATTAATCATTATGAGTGTTTCTATTGCTCAAAAAAACAATAATTCCTTCTGTGAATAGAGGTGACTCTCCACAGATCTGAACTGTAATGTAGCGTAGTGCAGTAACCTGCTTCTCCCATGTGATAGATACATTCAAGACAAAGCAATAACATTTCCATGGAGACGAGCAGGTGACGGTCTCTCCACTAGAAATGTTTACTGATAACAATTCTAATGCTGATTCATTCTTTGTTACAAAACACTGGGCAGGATGTTTCTGTTGTTTCTGTTGTACTGTGGTGTTTTGGTCAGTTTCCAATCAGAAAACAGAATCTCTCATTTGTGTTGCCAGTTTCAAAACTGAAATGCAGTTGTTTTAGACCTAAAATGCCTCTCTCTGATCTGAATCATCAAAACCCAGCACCACCAGTCAATCAGTGCTATCAGTCAGGATCAGTGCAAAGAGTCAGTGCTAGTGCAGCCTATGAAGCTCAGTAAATGTATTCTGGGCCTTTCACGTGAGGCCTGGATTGTCAGTATTGCTGGATTTCAGATGACATCACAACGTTTATGGGCCAATAACATTTAATACAGATGGGTTGGTAGGTAAAATGTATATTGTTAAAAATCAGATTTTTGTGGTAATATACAGCAGTTTTTTGCAACAGCAAATAATTTCCAACTTCTTGCAGGCCTAATTGAGGCGACTTTTACCATCACTGAACATCAGTAGGTCACAAGGACTAAACCAGAACTGAACCAGGTCTAAAACAGGACTAAACCAGGACTAATCTTGGACTTGCGAGTGAGAGAGAGAACCCCGAGCCCGTGGAGGAGGGTGTCCGCAGAGTGCAGCTACACTTTAGCCCCGTGGGGTGCGGAGCTCTGCGCCGGTCCTTTCGCTTGAGGTCACCCAGCAGTCTACGTGGGTGCACCTCTGGGCCGATCCTTACACTCAGTTATGGTTTGGTCTTGTTTTAGTCCTGTTTTAGTAGTTCAGTCCTGCTTCAGTCCTGGTGTTGTCCTGGTTCAGTTCTGGGATCAGTCCTGGTTTAGTCCGCATGTGTCGCACCTCCCCAGTGGCTCTTTGGCGCCCCCCAGGGAAGGTGGGCCTCACCTACTGAAAACTGCTGATATACAGAGTTCTTGGGTCTAGTCAATAAATAAAATTTTCAGACCCAAAATTTTTGACTTTTTTAGATAAATGGCAACGTACTATATAATAAATTGGTGGGTTTCAGATGACATCAGAGCATTCTATAGATCAATATTAATGAATACAGATGGGGCAGCTAAAATTAAAATGGTTAAAATGCAAGATTATGTTGTAATACAGTGAGTCCTAGAGTTTAATTTATATCTGAAAATAACAGATTCAACATTTGTGAGTTTACTTTTTGGATATTTCATAAAATAGATAAAATCGATGGGTAAAATACAATGTTATCTGAATCTGAATGTTATATGAAAACCACCAATGAGTAAAACTTGTTTGTGTCGTCTGTCTCCAGGTAAACTAACTTAAACTATGTGCTAAATGAATTAAACAAGGCCTAAACCTGGTCTGGACACTGCAAAGGGCCTAACCGTAAGACAGTTAAAACATTTTTAACCATGTTTTTTGTAGAATTATCCTGTGGTTGATTCATTAAATATCTAATTACACTGTTCAATGACTATTATTACAATTATTTTAGTTTAATCTGGGTATACTAAATCAGAATTAAACGAAAATGAAAATTTAATGACAAATTAAAATCAATAATAATTTTTGAACACTGTTACACCTTTTTTTTTCACATATTCATATAAAAAAACGTCCATTCCTTTTGCACAGTGCTGTATTGTGAGAAACTAAAAGCCAAAGACATGCCAAACTAAGTATAAAAATGAGAAGGCAAAGTTAGCGGCATCCCCAAAATGCCCAAAATGAGGTATAGCCTGCACCCACAGAGCGAGAGGTGTAGCGCTGAAACTCGTATCCCTGCCCAAAAGGAAGCCATTTCATCCATACCACCCAGGTTCATATAGTAGTACAATCCGACAGTGAAAATGAGCCAGAGTTATCAGCCCAAATGATGGTTGTTTATTTGTAACTGAGAAACGGAGTGATTTTTGCAGCTGCAGAGGTGTGAGCGGACTGCCAGGTCTCTAGGCTCTCGCACCGTTTAAAGGGACAGTACGGAATTTTCAGAAAGAGATCGACAGATGCAGTATAAGTAGTACTAGGACATGCCTTGCTCCATTTCGCTTGAAGGAAGAAAAGTGTGCAGAAACAGGATGTGCCCAATGTTGTTTGAAACCAGAATTAACACTAGAAGAAGAATAAAGCAAGAAAATAAGTGTTTTCAGACCTAAAACTAGAAACAGCAAATATTCTGTGCTGCTGAAATATGTTACCGATTTAGAAAGAAGAGCTGAAATTAGAATAAAGAATAAAAACAAGGACAAAAACATAACAAATAAACACATGCTTAAAAACAAACATAATTAGTCCTATTAATTATTATAAAAGTTAAATTTAAAAAGACAACAAAAGCTCAGAAAGCAGGACCGATTCTTTGAGAAATTTAAGCTAGGTTTAGTTCTTGTTAAAATGTGGTTTGTCAGTTTAATTTAAAGTACCATAAAGTAGTCCTTTTCATAGAATTGATATTTTAAAAGAAAAGAAAAGAATGCCCATAATAAAAAAACAAAACACTTAATCCGTAATTACTTAATCCACGTATCATTCTTTCATTTGTTTTTCAAAATAAAACCAAAAATAAGAAAATGAGAAAAGAACTATTTTATTCATTATTTGTCTCCAGAACCAAAAAAAAAAAAAAAAAAAAAGATAATGATTCGTTTTTTCAGTTTTCAATTTTGTCATTTTTTCAATAATGAAAAAAAAATTGATAATGACCGTTTCACATTTTCATGACTTAAGATGCGATGCCAAACATTTGCGCCGCATACGGACTGAAGCAGGACTAAGACAGAACTGAACCAGGGCTGAAACGGACTGAACCAGATCTAAACCAGGTCTAAACAGGGTCTAAACTGGGACTGAGTCCAGGACTGAGACCGGGACCAGATTGGGACCAGGACTGAGACCAGGACTGAGCCCGGGAGCAGATCAGGACTGAGAGCGGAACTGAGACCAGGAAAGGGTTAGTCAGGGTTCAGTCCTGGTTCAGTCCTGGTTTAGATCTGGTTTAATCCTATTTCAGTCTTGGGATCGGTCTTGGGATCCTTCCTGGTTCAGTCCTGGTGCAGTCCTGATTCAGTCCATATGCGGCGCAAAAGTTCAACTTCGCAGTTTAAGTCACGGAAACGGGAAACAGCCATTATTCGTTTTTCCATTACTCATTTAAACACAAAATCGAAAAATTAAAAAAACGAATCATTATCCATTTTTAAATTTTGGTTCTGGAGACAAATAATGAAGAAAATAGTTGTTTTTTTTTTCATTTTCTTATTTTTGGTTTTATTTTGAAAAACTAATGAACGAATGATACACAGATTTTACTTGTCGGAAATAGAATAAAATTACCATGGCAACTTTTACCATAGCAATAGAAATTAAGTACCAGTGAAAACACATATAGTCATTGATTAATCCAATTGCCCAGTAATAATAATAATAAATATTGGACTTAAATTTTTTTTAAACAAATCAATATTTTCTACTTTTGTCCTGTTATTTTATATTTATTTTCTTTTAACTTATTTTAGCAGAACAACTTCTTTTTTACGTCAGCCTCAATATCTACCCATCTCTTTCAAATCTCGTACTGTCCTTTTATACCAGTATTTTTAAACCTGCGTCTCACTCCGAGCTCGTCTGGTCCTCCTCACTGGTACCACTTCCTGTCCTTCCCCCTCTACTTCCTGTTTCCTATTTTCTACTTCCTGTTTGTCTGCTTCCTCTGGGCGGGCGGCTCTGTGGGCGCAGGCTGCAGGTCAGCATTGCCCCACCGTTTGCCCCACAATCGTCGCGGCGCCGTCCTTCTCCGGTATCGCGTCCGCCGCCCTCTGCTGGTGATACTGTGGTAGTGTCGGCGGTTGCGGGTAGGCTGGTGGTTTGACCGGGAGGGGCTGGACCATGGAGGGGGGCGCCGTGGGGATGTAAGCCAGGGTGGTGCTCTGAATCTGGGGCTGATACTGGAGCAGAGGGGGCGGCGGAGGCTGCGGGTGGACCTTGGGGTTTTGCATGGAGAGGGCCGGTTGGACGGGGGGTTGCTGGGGTAGCTCGGGGGTCAGGAGGGGCTGGGGCGCTATGGGGGTAGTTGGCAGGCTTTGGGGCGTGTTTTGGGGCAGGTTTAGGGATAGATTTTGGTGGAGGGGGGGGTGGTGGTGGTGGTGGTGGGGCAGCTGTGGGGATGCGGTGCCGTTCTTGCTCAGACCGCACGACTGCGCCGCGCAGTGGATCTGACGGAGAGTGTCCAGCGCTTCGCTCTTGGCGTGTTTCAGGAGGTCGGCCTGGCCCTGCACACAGACAGACCAGACAATGGTTACCATGGTTACAGGAGCTTTATGTAACTTTTCTAGAGTCTGCATTTATTAAAAGGTCCATATTAAGCTGTTATGTTTCCTCATCACGAACAAACCTAGAGTTCTGTTTTGTTTCCATTCACACATACTAGGGGTGTGCAGAAATATTGAAATATTATTAATAATAATAATAATACATAACACTTGTATAGCGCTTTTCAAGACACCCAAAGACGCTTTACATGGGAAGACAAACAATGACAAAGAAGAGAAAAAGACAGTTAATGAAAGTTTTTTTTTTTAAAGAGATGGGTTTTCAGGGCTTTACTGATATATTGATATATTGATATTGATATATCGTATCGTTTAATGTGATGATACAGTATCGATGGGCTGCTAATAATAATAATGATTTTACAAAATTATTTTGTTAAAGAGCTACAGTTTTGTTGCTTGTACAGAGGAAGGAAACTTGTTTATACGACACATTTGAAATTTTCACAGTTTTGATGTTTAAAATGTTTGTGTTTCATATGAACTTTGCACAAGAAGTGGTTTAACAAAGACTTTTAGTTTCACAGACAAGATTTAACCTTTAATTTTTTATTGAACCATATCGGATCAATTTGAAATATATTGTATCGAATCGAAAATGCACTGTATTGAGATATATATTGTATCGTGGCCTATGTATCGTATCGGCAACTTCTTAATGATACCCAGCCCTAGTCTCTATAGAACTGACGGTAAAGGTACATTGAAAACTACTGCGTCGTGGCATCAAAAGCTAAATTTTTTAGATTTAGATTTTATCACTTTGAGCTCTGAAAATGTAGACAGACAAATTATTCAAACATGTGTGAATGAAACAAAACACAACTTCAGGTCTGTTTTTGTGGAGCTCATCATAACATGGCTTAAAGCTCCCAAGATAATTTAGCAAAATGCAACTTCTTAAGCTTCTGTTGTTTTCATTCCTAAAAGATGATCTTGGGTAGTGCTGGGTATCATTAAGAAGTTGCAGATACGATACATACAGCAATACATAGGTCATGATACGATACATATCTCGATACAGTGCACATTCAATTCGATACAATATATTTCAAATTGATCTGATACGGTTCAATAAAAATAAAGGCTAAATCATGTCTGTGATACTAAAAGTCTTTGTTAAACCACTTCTTGTGCAAAGTTCATATGAAACACAAACATTTTAATCATCAAAACAGTGAAAATGTCAAATGTGTCGCATAAACGAGTTTCTTTCTTCTGAACAAGCAACAAAACTGTAGCGCTGTAAGAAAATAATTTCGTAAAATATACAAAAAATACTCTTGGTGATATATTGATACAGCAGCCCACAATATCGATACTGTATCAACACATTAAATGATACGATATAATATTTCAATATTTTTTGATATTTTTGCCCACCCTTAATCTTGGGTAAAAAATGCATGCATTCACATTCTCCAGCTGGTTTTGTTTTTACTTATGAAAACAGTAAATGAAATTAATCCAACTTTAACATTTCTATAGATTTCAAAATGTTACTTAAAAATATATTAAACTATGATGAAATGAAGGTGCCATGCCTTTACTACTGAAATCCTGAAAAAAGTAACAACAGCTTTGCCGTCTAATGTATTACTACAACAAAACACTAGAGGGCAGTATTACACAATAAACATCTCGATCTGTCATTTCACTCTCTCTATGTGCACAATATTAAGGCTCTATGATAAAATTCTGAAATAAAATGTTGAATTCTAAGAGATAATTGAAGCATTTGAGGAATTTGTGCATTTCCAGGGATTGTTTCTATAGGTGGCGTCTGATGGGCTCGTCTCCGCTCTGTTTGAGGTGAGAGCCAGAAGTTCAAAGAGACAGAGGCTTGTGAACAGATGTTGAAGATTATTTTAAAAATGTGATGGCATAAAGTGGATCGTAACATGGCACGAGGGGAGACGTCGAAGCTGTAACTTTGTGTTAAAAAATGAAAAAAAAAATGTGATGTTTTCAGTTGAAATCGCTTCAGTCTTTAAAACAGGCAACACGCATCAGATTTGCACTGATGCAGTTTGATGAAATTATGCAGCTCTTTGATTGTGATTATAACAGGACTAAACCAGGACTGAACCAGGACTGAACCAGGACTGAACCAGGACTAAACCAGGAGTAAACCAGAACTAAAACAGGACTGAACCAGGATTGAACCAGGACTAAACCAGGAGTAAACCAGGACTAAACCAGGACTAAACCAGAACTAAAACAGGACTGAACCAGGATTGAACCAGGACTAAACCAGGACTGAATCAAAACTAAACCAGGACTGAATCAAAACTAAACCAGGACTAAACCAGGACTAAAACAGGACTGAACCAGGACTAAACCAGGACTGAACCAGGACTGAACCAGGACTAAACCAAGACTAAATCAAAACTAAACCAGGACTAAACCAGGACTAAACCAGGACTGAACCAGGACTGAACCAGGACTGAACCAGGACTAAACCAGGACTGAACCAGGACTGAACCAGGACTGAACCAGAACTAGACCAGGACTAAATTAAAACTAAACCAGGACTGAATCAGGACTGAACAAGGACTGAACCAGGACTGAACCAGGACTAAACCAGGACTAAACCAAGACTAAACCAAGACTAAACCAGGACTAAACCAAGAATAAATCAAAACTAAACCAGGACTAAACCAGGACTGAATCAAAACTAAACCAGGACTAAACCAGGACTAAAACAGGACTGAACCAGGACTAAACCAGAACTAAATTAAAACTAAACCAGGACTAAATCAGGACTAAATTAAAACTAAACCAGGACTGAACCAGGACTAAACCAGGACTAAACCAGGACTGAACCAGGACTAAACCAGGACTAAACCAGGACTGAACCAGGACTGAACCAGGACTGAACCAAGACTAAATCAAAACTAAACCAGGACTAAACCAGGACTGAACCAGGACTGAACCAGGACTAAACCAGGACTGAACCAGGACTGAACCAGAACTAGACCAGGACTAAATTAAAACTAAACCAGGACTGAATCAGGACTGAACGAGGACTGAACCAGGACTGAACCAGGACTAAACCAAGACTAAACCAAGACTAAACCAGGACTAAACCAAGAATAAATCAAAACTAAACCAGGACTAAACCAAGCCTAAAAAGACTAAAAACTAAAAGCCTAGAAGGTCTAAACCAGGTAAACCAGGACTAAACCAACTAAACCAGGTCTAAACCAGGACTAAACCAAGCCTAGACCAAGCCTAAACCAGGTCTAAACCAGGAATAAACCAGGACTAAACCAAGCCTAAACCAGGTCTAAACCAGGAATAAACCAGGACTAAACCAAGACTAAACCAAGACTAAACCAGGACTAAACCAAAACTAGACCAGAAATAGATCAGGACTAAACCAGGACTAAAGCAGGACTAAAGCAGAACTAGACCAGGACTAGTTCTGGTTTAGAATTATGATTCTAAACCACAATTATGATTAATGAAGATTTCTGGTACCATCCTCCAGTTTCTGCAAGCGAGACTTTTCCAGACTAATTTGGAATGAATCCAGTTCACTTAAAAGAGTCATAGATCACTGCTCTGATGTTGGATTAAAATATTGAAACATATTTTTGGAGCGACCGGGTTTCGCTGCTCATTTCTCATACAGACGGAGGCCTCTCTGTTAGATGCTGTGAGCACACGGACGCACGCAGTCTCTTCATGTGACCTATATTGAACTGACGGGAGCCAAACAGGAAGTATGCCTAGACTACTTCCTGTTTCAATCACGCTGCATCGATTCATCTCAGTGATACTCTCAGAAATAAAGATTGATGCATTTCAGGAACAGAAAAGAGTCATGCTTAAGGTTATTTCTGAATATAAGTATGACTTGGCATGTGACTGGAAAGCAGACTGTGATCAGACTTAAAGGTGCACTGCGTAACTTTTCACGTGCTTGTATCAAAGAAGACGTTAATGCTTTCCCAACAGTGTTCCTTATATGATATTTATCTCCATGGAGACAAGCAGATGGAGTCACCAAGCCGAGATACAGGGCAGATCTGCGGTGTGGAGACGTATCTTTGCATCTGTAATATAACTGCATTTTCAAGGTCTTTTCTTTAAGGTACACTAAGAGGCATTAAAAACGCAACAGTCTAATTTTTCGATATTATTTCTCAATTTAATAATGAATTCGGTGTTACAAATTTGAATGATACTGAACATGAAAGGACAAAACCCACAGTAGAAAAGGTAATCGACAAAACAAAAGTAAAATTCAGCCACAGATAACAAATGTCAATATCTTGTCTGTCCGCCGTTTGCATCCAAAAACGCTCGCACTCGACGTGGTATAGACGTGATAAGCGCGTTGATTTCGGCCACCGGAATCACGTCCCACTCTTCCAAGAGAGCAGTACGAAGAGCCGCGACAGTTGCTGGAAGTGGGATACGACGGCGCACACGGCGATCCAGACTGTCCCAGAGGTGTTCTATCGGATTCATATTGGGAGAATAAGGCGGCCAGTCCATAACCTGCACCTTGTTTTCGGCCAGACACTCCTGACAGATGCGTGCGATATGCGGACGTTAAAGTTGGCACCAATTGGCCTGCTCTCTCTCGTTTGCTGCTGAGCGGGGCGTGATGACCGTGTGTGACATCTTTCATTTTTCCTCCGGGTTTTTAAAGCCTTCACCAGCTGAGCTCAAATCATCGAAAGAACTCATCGAAAGTTTTCAAACAGTGTCCTTACGACTCACACATTTAAAAGTAGGGATTGGCACCGCCCGGCACGTTATTTTGTTCTTTGGGCTAAAAAGTGTCGCTCCTTTGTTTCATAACCCACGACTGATCGTAAACATCGTAACAGTTTTTCGTGTATAAAGTTTTTTTAGTCAAAATAATTTAGCATTTAACCTCTTAGTGTATTTTTGAGCAATATAAAATGGAGTTGGAGGAAGTGTCC